TTGTTGGCTACAATTTAAGGATGATTTCTGACCATAACAGAAATTGGGGGCTCCTCCGGGATCTCCCTGTTGAAGGTGTTTCATTATTGCTAGGAAATCATCTAGCTAGAAACAACGTGGTTGCTAAACCGATTGTTACCAGTAAACCGTTGGAGGATGTTAAATCACCTGAAGATGATGCCAAACTGTGTCCAGCTTGTGTTGTTTCTAGGGCGATACCAAGAAAACAACAAAATGAGGATTTACAAGAAGACCGGTATGATTATATGGACCTTTCTGACACTTTCCTTGCCGACATTAACGGTTCCTAAGTGTATCTATGCCATGGCCAGACGTGTACAGCCATTCATTAGACAAACTAAATTTTGTGGAAGAACAAAATAAAGACCCTGAGGTTCTTCAGCTCCGAAAGAGAGCTCAGCCACAGGAGGACGCACACAAAGTGGCCGAATGCTACAACCATCAAGACGGAATTTTAATCAGGAAATGGAGGTTACCTGATGCTATCCCAGAGGAGGAATGGAGAGTGGTATACCAAGTGGTGGTGCCTAAATCCATAGGCAAGAAATTATTGGCCTTGCCAATGACACACCATTGGCCGGACATTTAGGTATAAAGAAGACTTGCCCAGACTTAAAAATGATGTCAAAGAATACTGCAAATCATGCCATATATGCCAGGTTGTTGGCAAGCCCATCCAGAAAATACCAACAGCATCACTTTTACAAATTCCAGCATTTGAAGAACCATCAAACCGAGTACTAATTGATTGCGTTGGACCATTACCAAAGACAAAGACTGGAAATGCGTATTTATTGACGATTATGTGTACATCCACTCGATTTCCTGAGGCTATTCCGTTAAGGTATTTGAAGACACCAGCTTTTGTCAAACCTCTTATCAAATTTTTCACGTTAGTAGGACTTCCTAAGTCATACAGTCCGATCAGGGTTCACATTTCATGTCAGGTTTATTTCAGCAGGTCGTATACCAGTTAGGAATTGCTCAGTATAGGTCAAGTACTTATCATCTAGAATCTCAAAGTGTCTTAGAACGTTTTCATCAAACATCGAAAAACATGATTAGAACCTCTTTGTCTTCAATTTGACAGGGACTGGGATGATGGTGTTCACTTTCTACTTTTTGCGGTCCGAGAGGCTGTTCAAGAAACCCTTGGTTTCAGCCCCTTTGAGCCGGTGTTTGGTGATACTGTAAGGGGACCTTTAAAATTGGTTAAGGAAAAAATGGATTACTGAACACACTGACTATGTATCTAGATTAAAAGAAAAATTGTATACTGCTTGTCAAGTTGCTCAGAAAAACTGTTCAGAAAAAGATGAAAATATGGAATGATAAAGATGTCAGGGCCAGAGTTTTTGAGCCTGTTGATAAGGTACTTGTATTTTTGCCAGACCCTGGACATCCTTTACAGGCTAAATATTTTGGCCCTTATACAATAGAGAGTAAATTTAATGATTTGAATTATATTGTAAAAACTCCAGGTCGGCGCAAACAAACTAGAGTGTGTCATATTAATATGTTAAAACCATATTTTGAACGTACTAATGAAGATGTGAGTAAACCAGTTGCCACTTTAGCCATGGTTAAATTGAAAAACGATCATACAAACCAGATATAATTCAACCACCTTTTGATTCTAGGACTAATGAACAAACAGTAAGATGAAAAATTCAGAAATTTTGTCAAATTTAGACTCAAAACTTGCACATCTGACTTTTGATCGTAGAGAAAAATTGAAATCTTTGGTATTTGCTTTTATAAATCTTTTTCCAGATGTGCCAAACAAAACCACTGTTGTTTGTCATTATGTTGATGTAGGCGATGCTTCTCCAATTACGCAACATCCTTATCTGCTCAATCCGCTAAAACTTGAATTTATGAGACAGGAAATCAAATATATGGTTGACAATGATATTATTGAGCCGAGTAACAGTGAATGGAGCTCTCCTTGTCTCCTTGTGCCCAAACCAGATAAAACCTGTCGTTTCGTTACTGATTTCAGAAAGTAAATTCAGTTTCAAAATCTAATTCCTATCCGATTCAAAGGATAGACGATTGCATTGATAATATTGGGCAAGCAACATTTGTGAGCAAATTTGATTTATTGAAAGGTTACTGGCAGGTACCCTTGTCACAGAGAGCTCGTGACATATCAGCTTTTGTCACACCAGACGGCTTATTTCAGTATACTGTCATGCCGTTTGGTATGAAAAGTGCTCCAGCTACATTTCAAAGAATGATCAATAATGTTATAAAAGATTTAGACTGTTGTTATGCTTACATTGATGATCTTATTGTATGTAGTGATAGCTGGGAAGAGCATCAAACACATTTATATGCTATTTTTAATAGATTGTCACAAACAAATTTGACTGTAAATTTCGGTAAAAGTGAATTTTGTCAGGCCAATGTTGATTATTTAGGGCATACAGTTGGCCAAGGTCAAGTGAAACCTATTATGGCTAAAGTGGATGCAATTACCAAATTTCCTCCTCCTACAAATAAAAAATAACTGATGATATATTTAGACATGATTGGATTTTACAGGAAATTCTGTTCAAATGTTACTACTGTTGTTCAACCATTGACTCCTCTTTTACCGAAAGATTCTAAATTCATCTGGAGTGATAATAGTCAAAATGCTTTTGAAAATAGTAAATCACTTTTAATAAACAGTCCAGTTCTGATCACTCCAGACTTTAAAAAAAAATTCAAACTTGCCGTTGATGCAAGTGATGTAGGAGTTGGAGCTGTTTTATATCAAGAAACAGATGATAATGTTGAGAAATCTATTTCATATTTTTCCAAGAAATTGGATAAACATCAGAAAAATTATTTAATTATTAAAAAAGAGTGTTTTGCACTGTTATCTGCATTTCAGCATTTTGCTGTATATTTAAATCCCACTATGCATCCTATTCTTGTTTACACTGATCATAATCCTCTCACCTTCATACAAAAAATGAAAAACAAGAACCAGAGGTTGACTAGGTGGAGTTAATTGTTACAGGAATATGATGTTATTGTAAAACATATTTAAGGTAAAGATAATGTAATAGCAGATGCTTTATCTAGATCTTATTAAAACACTGTATACATACTATATATTTGTGTATATACTGTTCATGAAAAGTTCTCGTTACACTCAAACTTTTTTTAAGGAGGGGAGGTTTTATGATATTGTACCTATCATGTTTGTTTATCTTGGCCTATTCTGTTTTGTTGGGCCTTGTAGTGTTTATTTAATTGGGTTATAGTTGTTTACAAAATAATGTTATAATTATGCAGTTTGGAAATCACTGGAACAATCATGTAATCAATGATTAGAACTTTCTATTTTGAATAACACAATAATTCCTAAATGATCCTAATCAACGATGCGTAATTTAAACTTCTACAATATTCTAGAAGTTTCCCTTCTAAGGTTCTCTAGGAGTTCACCTTCTACCATATTCCGTTACAGTTGAGAGAAGAATTCCGGATAAAGAAAAGACAAAAGATCGGACATATATTTCAACAGTTAAGTTGACATTTCTATTTGTGTAATATTTCTTGTAAAATGGTATGATAAATCTTGTTAAATTTTACTATTGATTTGTGTCTTTTGTTAGCTACAATTTAAAGGTTGTTTCTGGCTGTAAGAGCATTTCAAAAATGTTTGACAAAAAATTTGAGTTACTCCCCCTTTTTTGCCATCCTTCACAATATATACTCCTTGCATTTATGATTTTTTTGGGGTAAAAAGATTAAATATAAGGCAAAGTGAATGCAAATACATATCAGAATACTACTTTCTATTATTTTTTTACCTAAGAACATTTAAAAAATTGATATTTTGAAATTTATTTTTTCATATCTACTTCCTTTGAAAGCATACATTAAATATAATAATACCAACTACCTCCAATTGTTGCTACATATCGATCATACTAGGGCTTACTAGCCAGTCAAGGTCGTTAAACACCACCCTGTTAGTTAGATGCTACATAGCCATACTTTAATGTAAAGCTTAACGCTTGTGCATCTTTAGATAACTAGATGACATGGTATGATACATTAATACTTCAATGGCTTATAAATGCATTGAAAAAAGAAAATTAAAGTCTTAAATTCATATCGGTTAATATTTAACCAGGTGAACATGTTTTGGAAACTGTTTGATTTAAAATATAAAAAAAACATGTCCCCTAAATACTTAAATTCAGCTGACAAAAGTTCGTACGCGTTATAACCTGAGATTTCCTTCTTCAGTGACCTGCAATTTTATTACATAGGTTCACAGGTATAAGCGTTATCATTAAGGATAAAGAAAAATGCCCTGATAATCTAAAGAATACGGACATTAAAAACCCATCCATACCCTCATAACTATTTAACTGTTTAAAAGCATTTTTTACAGTTAAGTAGTTGCAACTCAATTTACTGTTTACTTTTCTTTCCGATGTTCTTTAAAGGTGAAATGTTTTAACCGGACCAAGCTTATGAATTGTTCTATGATCAGTTGGCCAATGGATAGTTGTCTTATGATCAAATATCATAAGTAACTCATAATTTTATTCATTTTCTTTTTGTTTCTGCATCTTCAATGCAATAGCCGAAACTTTAAAACTACTATTTATATATTGCGTCTTAATATGAATTGTAACACTTAGTAGTCTTTATAGTTACTGAAAAGAGTGAAGAAATCTTCAGTCTCCAGAAACAGAAAATGTAAAAAAAAACCTCGAAACAGCATCTGATCATTTGACATTGAAGCTCATGAAACGAAACTCAGATCGGAATAGATAACGGTCAAAGTACAAAATGTAAAGATCTTGTGAAAAGAAATAAAACACAGAAAACGATAAATTAAGTAAGAAAGATATTACTTCTGTACCTTAATATTTGTCCTCGGCCAGCTCAATTTTCATCGGCTTTCCCTCAACCCAATGAGACAAGCCTCGAGACAAAAAAAAAAAGACCAATGCATAACTAATCACTTAATAATATCCTAATCTTTAATTAACCTTATATAATATATCACTGGGACCACTGATGAATCAAGGAAAAAATAAAAGAAATCTTCTTGACATATTTCTGTATGTCAGAAAACTAACCTTTTTTTTTAATTCTGTAATCACAATAATGAAATATTTATTTTTTTGTAATGACAGTAAGTGAGAAAGTTTTCAAATTATGCGTTAATATTTGTGAATAGAAATAGTATTTCAATATTCTAAATTTTACTTCAATATTTCATTGAACATTGAGCCTCATCTCAAATCTCAGTCTGGATTTATTGCCTAACATCTGCTTCATGTGCTTGCATTAATGTACACCAGATCTACCTTCGATCGGAAAAAGGTGGATAAAGGCCGATTAGCATGCTGCACTATTATTCTTGCAAAATAATATTATTTTATTTAATTCGTATATATCTTTTTTTGCAACGTAGTTGCACAGATAGCTAAATCTTTTACTATCCCTGTCACCTTGTCATTTTCATAATATATGACAAGGTATGGGCACGATTACTGACATATGCAATCGATTAATAATCAATCACATGAAGATTTTTTGTTTTTATATATAATTTTTTGTTTTTGTATGTAATTGATTAAATCGAGCTGATATATAAAAAAACTTTCAGCCAATCAGAAGACGTATTACATCCAAAATTAAACTATTGATTTATGTCATTCAATTTTAATTCAAGACTTTATTTTCGAATTTTTTTTTCTTCTTCTTGCATTTATTGTTAGTCTTATTTGGCGATTTCATTTTATTACGACGATAATCCCAACAGTAAGACAAAGTGTAGTCATAAAACCCACTGACAGTCCGAAGCCGGTAGCTCTCGAAATGTTTTTTTCTGCAGGAATTTTAACTTGATTATTGTTAAATTTTATGATCAAATTGCTTATTTCCATTTGAGCGGATTGTGATGGCGTCCATTTGTTTTCTTCTAGTTCATGATTTGTAGTAGCAGATTCAATTAAATGCATCCAGGACTGTCCGTTATGCGATATAATATAATTAGCGTTAGCGAGAGGTTTAATGCTTTCTGCTGGAATCTTTGTAAAGGGAGGAATTTTTAAGAGAGGAGATTTTAAATTAGATAAAAAACCTGTGAAAACACAATACATTATTTCGCAGTTATTGTCAATGGTTGCTAAATGGCTGCTGTATCCGTGCGGACAAGATTTCGAAGCATTAACTGAAGCCATCGGATTACCGTTGGAACAACTGTAAAATCCTCCGAAAGGAACAGCGAACGCTGTCCCGAGTTCGTAATCATCACTGACACATACATGAACGTTAGATGTAATTGTCAGTGGTAGGTAAAATCGCGGACATGATTGAGATTGTGTAACAAAATTGTTGGTTGTATCAGAATATAGTCCTCCGAATATATATCCGCTATGCTGACTTACCGCTGAATCTTTTGGAGCATGACACCAATAGGTGGTAAAATTTGCTGTACCGAAGTATGATTCGTCTTTGCAGCAACTAAAGAATAGATAACAAGTTTGACATGTATGCTGTTGCTGAGATTTGGATGTTTCGCTGGTGTATAGAAGTATTTGTTCGTATCCAACTGGACAGCTGTAACTTTGTGTTTTTGGATTTTTTGTTCCAAACTGTCCACAAAGGTTCTCATCCATAAGATCCCCATATTGGTCGCATGTCTGAAAAACTCCCCCAAAGCTAAAGTTTGTTAAAGGAGTATGACATGTGCCATCGTTAACGTTAGCAATATAACTAAAATTAGGTGCATCCATCTTTGTACATCCGGGATATTTATTGTGTGTATAATACGTCAAAATTGCAGTGCTGATACTTTGTGTTAACTCGTGAACAAGATACTCGGATAATTCAGGTAGTGTTGTTGTTGTTACGAAATGAACTAATGGAAACCCATTTCTGTCAACTGCAACTAAATCGTCAGCAATTTCTGAGACCCATTTTCCAAACGTAAAATTGTCAGGATTTAGTGCCGGTCCCCCATATGTCCTGATGTTCGAATCCGTTAAATGAGTTATGTACTTTTCAATATCGTTATCAGAAATTGAAATTTTTGAAGATGCTTTATAGTCCTCAAGGATTGGAAAAGAATAGCTAGCGGCTAGTGAAATTGAGAGCTTATTCATTGTTGTCTCCTGTTTTATTGAAGATTTTACCTGGTCAACCTTGACAATAGATGCCCCAGCGTCAATTGTTGTGATAACATGTGTTCCAAAATCTCGAACGAGTAACTCGCTTTCGTAGCGTGCTGACGACTTGCGGTTGTGTTGTATATGATTGGCTATTTTAAGCAAACGTGAACGAAACGAGGGATCTAGTTGAGCATCAGATAAAACTTCCGCTGTATACCTTACATATCTTGCTTGAACTTTTGTTGTTAACGATTTGTCCTCAATCTGTTTTGATTTTACATGTTCAAACTCGGTCGAAAAACTGCCTGAAATCGTGCCTTCGTCTTTCACAGATGCATCTAGATTGATGGAAAATGAAGTATCAGTTTTGTAATCGGACCAATGATCGTACGTCTTTGAGAACACATGCATACTGCTTGATTTGATCGGTATTGTGACAATTCCATCAGGAATCAAATAACGTTGGTCCGCAGTAGTTTTACATTTGGAATAGTTAAAATGTATAACCATTCCTCTGTTTTTGTTGACGAGATTGTCCCATCCTAGACCTGGTAGAACCTCAAAAACATAAAATGGTTTTGTCTCGATGTCACACGCTCTCGGGTGTCCAATCGGAAAAGTTCTGTTTGAATATACATTGGATAAAAATGATGAATAAAATAACATCTGTATAAATAAAATTGTATCCATAGTTTGCATTCCTCTATATATCTGAAATAAATAAAACATATCGTCTATAAATAAGAGAAAAAGAAAGGTTAACTGATATCAAAATATCAGAAATCAATTTAGAAGATGTGATTCCAGGTGAACAACACTTATTGAGGGGATCGCATGAACTCAAAAATGAGTGAGATTGGTTGCATCTATAGGTTAATTGTCCCCTGCTACGCTTGCATCACCCACTCTGCGCATCCACATTTAATCAAAATGATGCAGTCGGGTAAAATGACAGAATGAAAGAAGTTTCTGTTCCTGAGAGATAAAAGATCGCGAAAACATGTTGCAATTGAGTTGAGAAGTCCTCTTTTCCAGGGAAATTTTGCTAGTAATTTAGTCGAGGTATTTATAAAATTAATCCCCTATTCTAAGTTGTTTCATGACAATCCATAGTAGTATGATCTTGAAAATATATGTGTTCATATAATCCAAATTCATAGCTTTAAAAATTATGGACTTGCGTAAGCATATACAAATCAAAATCGTTTTTTTTCCTGGGAAAACGAATGTGTTGGAACTATTGATGAATTTGGAAACTTTTTAATTCTTCAATTGTTTTTACATTATCTTCATATCTTAATAATCACTCAACAACCAGCGTCATTAACGTCTTGGAGATCGATGCTTACGTCTTGAAGAATTATTCATACTAACAGTTATTAGAGAATAATACCACTAATACATAGCCCATTGCTTTCTATGTAAAATTCTGCAAATTCAAGCGATCATAGCTATTTTGTCTCAAGTTCAAAACTTTACCTTATCCTGGCTTGTGCTGAAAAAAAATCATTATGCCTTTAATTGCATATTAGAACTCATTGGTCCTCGGAATTTGGGTTGTGAAAAAAACAGGTACTTTTGATCTGAGCAGCAGTGCACATATGCCCTCCTATTTTAATTTCATATATTTTGTATTATTCAAAAGGAACTTTTAAAAAGGGTTCTACTGTGATTCCAAGTCCTTCAAGCTTCCATTATCCAAACATTTTACGTATTGACGTAGGAACTTTTTTTATTTGTAATTTGTACTACTTTTTTTAATGTTCTTTTTGACCCGGCCGAATTAGTAGTACTACGCCTATAACAGAATCAAACTTGCTATATTGACTTTTGTTTTACTTATCTAAATTCTACGATCTATTTCACTTAATTCAAGCTCAAATTGGACTAGTATTAATATATGCGTTATACAATGAAACATGCACATGGATGATAATAGTGACCGAAATGAGACTCTTTCCACTATTACAAGTTCTAATTTGTTAATATCTACTCAAATAACAACGTTCATACCTATATGTCTTATTGTTATCAGAGATTGTTGATTGAATTGAAATATAGTAATCCAAACATAAAATATAATTGAGAAAGTTGGGAAAGGGGTATTTCAAGAAAAAACAAACAAACTTATAAAATGAACCAATAAGAGCAATGTTTTTATATCCAATAAGATATGGAAACTCACAAGATAATCTCACCAAAAGCTATTTTTAACTATAAAACATTATAGCTATGTTTCATTTGTTTCGGTCTAAAATATTGCAAACATTGAAAATTCAGGTTAAGTTTTAGACATTTACTAGACAGAAGTCAATATCAAACTTTACATCGATTTGGTAACAATAGCTAAAATGGTTATTTGATTAGAACAGGATATTGTCAGGGCTTAAATGCATATCAAATAGCATAATGTGCTCAACTATCAGTTTTCCAAACCTGTTTATCGAACGTTTCAACGATGTGCATATACGATTTCAGATAATAATGGACAATAATTAAAAACACAACAGGTAATTCATCAAGCTGTTCATCACTTGAATAAGTGCTCGATAGTTATACTGTCAACAAGAAGCTTTGTTAAATATACGAAAAACCTGACTGTGGTTGGTGTTAACTAGTGTTTGAATAATGGAACTCTGTATTGCATAGTAACGATCATTACACTAAATTGAGAAGAAATAATCCTCCATTAATAAAGTCTAAATTTGTCATCCCTACTGCATTTTTTCAGTGGTATTCACAATAGCTCATTTATCTGATTTATTTAACATTAATATTTGGTTATTCATGGTTTGTATTACTAATACGCTTACCATATTTACAACTGGACGTAAGAAACACATCTTTAAATCTATCAGCTATAGCGTCAAAATAAAGTAATAGAACCTAAATTAACTTTATCTTGTAACTGATAAAACAATATATTCATGGATAATATAGAAAGAAAAAAATCGTCTACCAATCAAACAAAAAATAACTTATTTTTGGTTTTCCCTGAACGATGTAACAGAGTGCAGTGTATATCATTTTGGAAAGTAGGAGATTATACTGATAGATATTCTGTTAAAGGACAAGGTATCATAATGGCCATTTCTGGCCACTTTTTCACGAATTTTAAAACTTTGAAGTTGAACCCAATCCTGCATGTGAAATGATCTGTAGCACCTTTTTGGGGGGTATAATGTACTCAGATGTGTGCAAACAGAGACCTTGAAAAGACTACGAACGACGAAAGTCGTCAAAAATCTACAATAAATTAATGTTTGAGGACGAAATTCGACATCAGCACCAACATAGACCATCATTAAATTTTCAGCTATCAACTCTACTCTTATAAACATTTCACTTTATAAAAATTCGTGATGGTCTACGTTGGCGCTTATATCTGAATTTGAAAATTGAGTGTTTACAATTTTGACAAGTCCATGCATGTATAATATTACAAACGAAACAGAACGGGCTATGAGATTATTCCTTGGTCTCCAATTAATCAGAATATCACGTACCAATAGTTATTACGTATTCAAATACCTAAACATGACTCTCTTAAAGCTATGTTATATTTGTAGTTAAAACCAGGGGAAAATTTACCGCAGTGCAGACAACATCGCTTTATTATATAAATACAGAGAGGTGCCCCTTGAAATATGAGGATTTAATTTCCATTCAATACGTTTTTCAAATATTCAGTTACATCTTCTGAGTTAACTTTATAATAAGGTCTTTTTAAATCAAACTCATTTTGATTCCTACCGTGCTAGGGCTTTACAGCCAGTCAAGGTCTTTAAAAACACTCCCATCATCGTTAAAATTTTTAATTGCTATCGTGGAAAATCTTAAAAAAAGGATTTGAAAGAGTAAGATAGGTCATTAAAAAAATGTTTGAAATATGATAAAGGTTGGTGCATACTTTCGTAGCAGTTCTCTCAAACATTCCTGATGAATTAGAATAATCCAACTTGAAGATTTATGCAAAGTTAACAAAAAAAATCAAAGTAGACCAGTATCTTCTGGGACAAAATGTCAAATCTTAAATCATCTCGCGAGAATAAAAAAACCTACAATAATTCACATTCAAATTCAATAAAAAAAACTCACCGATTCGCATTCAAGACAAAATTCTCAAATAAGAAAAACAAAAAAGACACAAAGATAAAAAATAATGATTCTAGTATGACATAAGCTTACAACTCACTATAGGCCTGACTATGGACAAACATATGCACAAGTGGAATTTTAACACTATTTAGATCCAACCATCACTCTTTTTATATTGATTAATTGACAACACAAAACCTACGTGAAACATGAAAACATGCAATATGAAAAAGTGCAGTTAAAATATATAACAACAATATATTGGTATAATAGATTACAAGAAGCTATTTCAAAGGAAAAAATATAATTCCGTCTACAGTGAGGTTTATACTGAAAGCAAGCTTTAGGTAATTATTTTATACTGTAATTTATATATTGTACCTTGACCTATAATGGTTTACTTTTATAAATTGTTACTTGGATGGAGAGTTGTCTCATTGGCACTCATACCACATCTTCCTATATCTATTGATACCCTATTCATATCTCATTCATTTTTAAAGATTATTTAAGGACTCTTTTGCACTTACTAATGTGATAAGTTTTTTTTTCATAAAATAACAGATTGTTGTTGAAATAGCATTTCTATTTTCTTAGCTCCTGTTTTGAATTGCCAATAAAAACATACACCAAAAAATGGCTTAGTTTCAACATATTTTTCTTGCATATATACAAATTAGATAAGACCCATGGCAAACAGACTAATGAAGTGTTTTTTTAAGTATGCAGCTAGGAATATGTGTGTTTATTTCTACAATTTCAAGCATTTATAACTAGTTTGTCTAAAATTTATATCAAGTGACAATTATTAATTGTCAAACCTATGACTTATCAAATAATACACTGGTTCCTAGAGGTAGGGCAGTACAAAACAGGTACTTCTGACTTGAGCAATAGGTTAACTATGCCCATTTAGTTCAATTTCATATATTCTTATTTTTGGTTTTATTATTCAAAAGAAAATTTCAACAAGTGTTGACCTAGTCCGAAGTGGTTGTATTCCTGTAAGAGAAAATAATAAGGTTTCCGGATATGGTTTCAACTAAACATGAGAAGAGGAACTTCAAAGTGCTCCACGAAACCTCTTTCCAAATTAATAACAACTATGTGAGGAGCAATCAAAGCAAGAATTCAAAGTTAAAGTGAAACTACCTATTCTAGAGGTGGCGTAAATTAGATGTGGATATTAAAAAAATCCAAAGATCTTTTAAAGTACGTACAATCTAAAATTATTTTATCTTGCAATAGTATTAAAACGTTTGACTTTTCTACACTTTACACAATTATTCCCCATTCCAAACTAAAAGAAAAATTAAAATGTTTGGTCATGCTTTGTTTCATAAAAAAGAATTGCTTACGTAAATACAAGTGTCTTGTCTTCGGGAGGGATAAATCGTACTTTGTAAAAAATCATTCTGATTCAAACAAAAATTCTCTGAAATTTACATCATCAAGACGCTTTGATTTCTTGATTGACAACATATTTGTTACGTTGGAGGACGTGTTTTTCAACAAACATTTGGCATTCCTGTATTCACATGATGCTGACTTCATACATGAACTTCTTAGGAAGAAAGAAAAGAAGTTAGAGTATCCTTTAGTTTCACTTCCGC